AAGTGAAGCAAGCTGAAATAACAATTTCAAATGTTACATTAAGAGGATCTGGACCAGAGGTGGGTTTCAGCAGGTTCTGCCCAGTTCTGGAGAACCGGTAGCAGAAATTTTGAGTAGTTCGGAGAACCAGTAGTAAAAATTCTGACTGGTCCCATCCCCATCTATTCTCTGCCTCCCAAATCCCAGCTGATTGGGAGGGAATCAGTGGTGGGTTCCTCCCGGTTCCGCTGAGGCGGTAGCGATGACAATATGATGTCACCAAACCAGTTCTGCCCCCCCGCCCCTCACCAGAATAAAAGGTTATTCTTACCTTTTATTTGGCCCCACCCCCAATCTATTGCTGCCTCCTGAGTCCCAGCTGATCGGCTAGAAGGAAAAAAACTGTTTAAACTCTTGCCGTGGGCTTCAAAGGGCCATCCTACAGCTGATCAGTGTTAAAAGGCAGTGTGGTGGTAGATCGGTGCCTCCAAAAACAAATGGGTAGACCAGTGCCTGCAAAAATAAATGGGTAGACCAGTGCCTGCAAAAATAAATGGGTAGACCATTACAGCTCTGCAAGCTGTTAAAAGCCTGGTAGACCAGTACCTCTGCTAAATCCTAAATAATTGTCACATGACCATCAAGCCACGCCTACAGAACCGGTAGTAAAAAATTTTAGAACCCACCCCTGGAGGGAATAGATTTTACAGTATCCCTCCCCTGCCACACCCTTTCTGTATGGTTTGCCAATTGCACAGTGGCAGATAGGACAGTGCTCCAGAGGGTTAACATCATTGCCCAGAGGATCATTGGTTGCCCTCTCCCCTCTTTGGAAGAGCTTTATAGCTCCCACTGCCTTTAGAAAGTCCAAAACGTTCTTAAATATCCATCTCATCCTGGGCACCCTTTTTTTTGAACTATTACCATCTGGCAGACGGTACAGGACAATAAAACAAGGAGAAATAGGCTGAAAAACAACTTCTATCCCAGAGCAGTAACTATATTGAATTCTATTGTATAGTGCAATATTAATGCAATATCAGGGGGTTTCGATTCAGTTGTATAGATTGTGAAGGCTGTGTGTTTGTATTTTATTTTTATAGTTATGTACACTGAAGATGGCATTTAATTTCGTTGTATGAGGTGCAATGACAATAAAGTAAACTAAGCTAAACTGTAACACCAACATCCACAGTGAGCATTCAGTGTGCGGCTAATATTTTTTAAAAAATACATGCTTGCAATCATTAGTAGCACAGTTCAAAATAGAACTTCAGGTGTAATTAGGCCTGTTATGAATCTATGGCAAGATTGCCACTGCTGTATAGTATATAGCCCTCGCCATCACACCTTAAAAGGAATATAGAGATAGGAAAGCTGCAAAAAAGGGGCAGAGAGATATCATAATATTCAAAATCAAAATTACTGGCTAAAATTAAATGCATGCGGATGCAGATTGCAGCATTCTCCACCATCTATCCTTCTCATCTTTCCTATTACCTATTTCCTTATCTTCTTGTGACTATAACTTTGTTGCTTGTATCTTATGATTTATATTGTTTTGTTTAATATCCTATCATAGTATGATTTATGTTGATTGATTATTTAGTATCCTATCACTATCACTGTTGTATCTTATGATTTATGATGAATGTATTTTTATTATGATGATGATCATGATTGATCACTTGTTGCTTCTATGTACAGTGAGAGCTTAGGTACCGGAGACAAATTCCTTGTGTGTCCAATCACACTTGGCCAGTAAAGAATTCTATTCTACTAAGTCAAGGATAGCTAGTAGCGATGGCTTTATTAAAAGGGGACTGAATTAGTTCATGGAAGATCAGATGGCTATTTCTTACCTCTTTTAATATTGCCTTCTGGGGAGTGACAACAGAAGGGATTCATCCATCACCCTCCAGTCTTGACTTGAGAACTTCCTGAATGTAAAGTTGGCTACTCCACACAGAACACTTATGACCTGATTCAGCAGACTTCTTATGTTTTGGTTATAAAAATATTTGTTCTTGGTCCCAAGCTATTCATTCAGGTAACTATGGAGCTTCTCAGTCATCCAGGTCATGGTTGTCCCAAAGGTGCTTTTCCAAAAATAAACTGAACTTTCTTGGGGTTTTTTTTTCTTTGAAAAAAAAAAGAAGCTTCTTAGATGAGAAGTAAAAGTTTTCAAAGAAAAAAAACCCAAGAAAGTCCGGTTTATTTTTGGAAAAGCACCTTTGGGACATTCAGTCAGATAGGCTTCCCAAGATGCCTCTGCCAACAAGAGAAGATGATTGATTGATTGGCTTATTTATTTATTTATTTATTTAATGTGCTCTCAAGAAAAAAGTGGAATGCCACCTTGGTTATGGGTAGATCTCCTACCTGCCTTTTATTCAGGGCAAGCTATCCTGAGATAGTTCTTCCATGATTGATTGATTGATTGATTATATTTAATTCATTTATGTGCTCTCAAGAAAAAAGTGGAATGCCACCTTGGTTGTGGACCTGCCTTTAATTGAAGACAAGCTATCCCAAAATAGCTCCTCCATGAACATGAGGGCTTCTTTTGGCAAGCATTATCAAAAAGAACTTTTTGCTTAAGTGTACTTGAGTTCTAAACGATCTTCCTGGATCCTTAGGACAACTATGAAAGATGGATCTTCACCAGCTCTCAGTCATGCTGATGGCCTGCGTCAAGAAAACCATTGGCTCCAGCTCAACATGGCAAAGCTAGGATGCAAAAAAAGTTTGTAACAATGCTGGCCTTGGATGGCTTGGAAGATATGCAAAATCTCGCATGTATTCAGAAAACGGTGTCCCCAGATTACATTGTGAAAGCCCTGGATATTTGATTTTACAATGGTTACGTTTCTTGTCAATACAGTATTTAAATATGGAAGGCATAGTAGTCCTCAACTTACAATCACAGTTGGGATCAGAATTTCAGCTGCTAAGAAAGCTAGTCATGCCCAATTTCCCCTTTTTTTGCCATCTTTGTTAAGCAACCACTGTGCCATCATGTGCCAAAAGCTGAGGGGAGCACGGGGGGTCATGTGTGCACATGCCCACACTCATAATTCAATGTGCCACGCCCCCTACACATGCGTGCATGACACCCGCGCTCCTCCCAGCTTTTGGCACATGATGGCACAGTGGGCCCAGTAGGCCCATTTTTTGCCCTCCCCAGGCTCCAAGGCTTTCTTGGAGCCTGGGGAGGGCAAAAATGGCCTTTCCCACCTCCCAGAGGCCCTCTGGAGGCCGGAAACAGCCCATTTGCCGACTTCCAGTAGGACCGGAAGGCCGTTTTTTGTGCTCCCCAGCTTCCAGAGGCTTTCTAGGAGCCTGGGGAGGCCAAAAATGGCCTTCCCCACACACCCCCAGAGGCCCTCTGCAGGCCAGAAACAGCTTGTTTTCTGACTTCCGGTGGGCCAGGAAGGCTTGAAAAGTAGATGGCTGGTGTGTGCATGAACGCTGAATTAGGGCAATGCTCGTGTGCCCACCAATATGGCTCCGTATGCCACCTGTGGCACATGTGCCATAGGCTCGCCATCATGGCCCTAGTATGACCATCATAGGTGAGGGGAGAAGGGACAGCTTTTGTACTTAAAGGCCTGACAGAAGAATTGTGTGTGGTGTTGTGAATTTTATAAAGTACCCAGCAGATTTTAGTGTTTACTATCTAGCACAGTGTCCCAAAGGTGCTTTTTCCCCCATCATCCAGTCAGAGCTGAAGAAGCTTCTAGGACAAGAAGCGAAAGGTCTTCAAAGAAAAACCAGAAAGTCTAGTTGGGAAAAAAAAGGCACCTTTGGGACAACCATGACCTGGATGGCTGAGAATCTCCGTAGACATCTAGCACAGTGGCTCTCGACCTTTTCTTCAATACAGAACCCCTTTAAATATCCTTTGTGGCCAGGGACCCCCAAGACTTGTAACTCAAGATTTAAATCATAAATCATTTCTTCAAGCCTTCGGGGACTGTCCTGTGATGTGGGGCATGCATAAGTGCACCAGCGTGCCTACCGTCCCTGTCCTAATGTTTTCTCTTATTCATATCATTTTCATGTATTTATAATTACGTTTACACTTGTAACTGTCATAAAGAGCCTTGATAGTACAGTGGTCTACGCACCGTTATTAACACAGCTGCCTGCAATTTACTGCTGGTTCGAATCTCTCCAAGGCTCAAGGTTGACTCAGCCTTCCATCCTTTCTAAGGTGGGTGAAATGAGGACCCGGATTGTGGGGACAATAAGCTGACTTTGTATAAATATACAAAAGGATGAAGGCTATTGCTTAACGCATTGTAAGCCGCCCTGAGTCTCCGGAGAAGGGCAGCATATAAATCAAATTTAAAAAATTAAAAAAATAAAAAAAAAATACATGCTTGATGAAAAATAAAATTTAAAAATAAAATCTCTTAAAATAAAATGTAAAAGTAAAATACACCCCCCCCCTTTTAGGACCACTGATCTAGCACTAACACGGGTGCTTACTCCTCAGAGGAAACATAACATGTGAAACACGCCACCTCCCCCAACCTGATCCTTTCCAGGTGAGTAGGACTACAAGCCCCAGCAGAGCCAGAGTGGCTGTGGATGAGGGCAACCTGGCATATGCGAATTGTGGAGGGGCACGTGTTTCCTCAAGGCAGGGTCTGTGGAACGGTGGCTGGCGGGTCTGGAAGGGGTCCAATGCATGGATCCCATGCAACGGAGGTGCAGGAAGAGACAGTCGTCGGCTATTACGGATTAGAGAAGGCCCGTCGGATTCTACGGAGCAGAAGCTGCTCGTCGGTCTCCGGGGACATTCTGGGGGGGGGGGGGGGTCAAGAACCGAAGAGCCCTGAAAATAATAGGAAACATCTCAAATGAAACATTTGCGACAGAGCAACTCCTCCCTTCCTGTCTTCACCGCCCGCCTAACCAGCCTTCCACCCCCCCCTCACCCGCGCCGCATTTGTCTGCTGCCCGCCCCGCCCCGCCCCTTTTCATTGTCCTCCCCTTCTGTTTATACACAAAGACCCCCATCCTCCCCCTTTCCCTCTTTTCTTCCCGTCTCGGGCTCCGTCCTCCGTTCGCTTTCGATCTTTCCTCCCCTTCACATTCCCTCCTTCCTTCTCTCTCTCCCTCCCTCCCTCCTTCTTTCTTTCTCTCTCTCTCTCTCTCTCCCGTCTCCCTTCTCCTCTGAGGGGATTTTAGCAGCCGGGCGGAGGTGGAGCTCGGCGGCAGAGGATTAGAAGTGGATGCGCTCAGAGACCGGCAGAGATTTCCCCCACCCACCCCGTCGCCAACCCGCCCGCCAGCCCGCTCCGCCGTCGTGTGCCCTCGCCTCGCGAACGCGTTTTCTTGGAAAGCAGCCGAAGAAAGAAGAAGAAAGGGAAAAGGATCGGAGCGCCCCAACCCTTCACCTCCAGCAAGAACCCTGACTCAGATCCGCCTAGATCCCTCCCTTCCTTTGGACTGGGGGAGGAAAAAAAAAAAAAAAGGAAGAGAAAGCGAGGCGGCTGGAAAAAGAAAAAAAATCCCCTCCATTCCGAGCCAACGGACCGGCTGGAGCCAGACGAGCTTCCTCCAAGCCATGGACCAAGCGAAGGATCTTCTCGTCTCTCGCCTGCCTCGGGCTTCCAAGATCCAGCTGGCTTGAAAAGCGTACGTATAGGAGAGAGATCCATTGCTTTGCTTCCTGGTTCGAGGGATCGGGGGATTCCTTGGAGGCTTGGAGGAATCGACGACCCAGATCTTCAGTTGGGGTTCTCCTCAGATGGTGTGGGGGGGGATCCCCATCTAGTCAGCCTCCAGATCCCGTCTGATTTTCCTCTGGATCTTTGAAGCATTCCGCGGGAGGCGGAAAGTGGAGGGAAAGAAAGGGTCTTCGGATCATCTCCCTCTCCTGGATGTACAGTACACGTGTTGGTTCCTTTCTGACGTTTCTACGGATCCAGCTCTAATTCATCGGAAAAGAACTAACCCAGCTCCTCAAGGGTTGTTGTTTTTTTCATCTGCATCACTTTTGCATATCTGAGGACTGTGGGACGCACTAACGTTTACTAAGAAGATTATTTTAAGGCTTCTTTTCCAAATTCCTGGAGGTATCAGTTCTTGGAAGTCTCTGGATGTACACAATTCTTTTTCAGGGAAAATTACCAAGCAGCATTAATCTTTTGGGCTCCTAGATTTTAAATGAACCCATCGTCTGGTTAGATGTCTTGGCTTTCCACAATATAAAAGTTGGATTGTGGTACCAAAACGTACTTTGGTGTTTCCATTTGTTCCATCAGTTGTTTTTGTAGGCTTTTGAACAGCTGGAATTAACGTGAAATTCTGACGCTTGGATTCCGGTAATTTTGAATTATATTTATCTTATTGGCCTTTTTGTCTATCACAATCCTCTTCCTGTCCAACTTTGGGGGTTTCCTTGAACCAACCCAGATCTCTTTTCTTTAATAACATTCAGTTTCATCCTAATTCGCTTTTTAAAATTCTAACATTTATCACTGTTGCTACATTTTTTGTAAAAATTCATCAAAATCTGCCAATTTGCCAGTGACAGGTTCTCGAAAACCACCTCCCAGTCTAGTTTCAGACTAAAGACATGTCCGCGATCACTCTAGAGATCTGTGCAAACATTTGTGTCTGAAGCACCAATTTTACTTAAACAGACCACGAGAAGGGGAAATCCACTCTATTCCTCCCGGATCACCTTTGTTTGCAATCAGATTCCCTCTCTGGGGTGAAAAGCCTTCTCTATTCTCTTGCTGCAATCCTGTACACCCGTTGCCTGTTAGTAATTCTCGCTGCATGCTCATTTCTGAGCTGATGGCATAAAACTGCTCTGTAAATAAACCTGCCCCATTGTCATCCTCTTGCAATGTCCCTCGCCTCTTCCATATCACTGCACAAGGCGTTTTTAAAAAATAACTAGATTGCTTACTCAGGCACAACTATGTTCCTTGCATTTTTTTTTATTAACAGCCATTAAGAAAGGTTAGATTAGAACACCGATAGTGACACAAAAACACATGGAAGGAAGCTGTTTTTTAAAATCCCCCTTAGTTCCTCTTCTCCTTTTTCATGCTCTTCCACTCTTTAACTGCCCTTACACTGGCCATCAAGATGGGGGTCAAATCTTGTAAACAAACCTAATCTTTGCCTTGCAAGGATGCCTGGATTCCTTGTGTAAAGAGCCTCCCCCCCCACCATGTAGAACTGTCACCTCCCCAACACACCAGAGACAGTGTGTGTGACATGAGTTGGAAAGAGTGAGCGGATGAGGAGAGGGAGGAGGAAGGAGGAAAAACATCAAAGGTTGAGCCTGAAGGAAGCCTTTTATCTCTCTCTCTCTCTCTCCTTCCCTCCCTCCCTTTCTCTTTCTCTCTCTTTCTCTTTCTCTCCCCTCTCTCTTTCTCATAGCTAAAGGGACTTAATTTTGCAGTATCTTCTGACAGATCATCTTCCTCTTCCTGATCCTTTAAGCTACTCTTTCCCCTTTTCTTTCTTCTGAATGTATTCCTCGGACTCTCCCACCTTTCCTTCTCCTTTTCCAATCCAGCTCTCCCTCATTCCACCTCCATCTGTCACTTCCTACCATTTTTATTTCTGGAGCCTCCATTTTCTGTTACTCTAATACTGTCTTTCTTCTCCTTTCCAACCGTTTCCCATTTCTCTAAACCCCCTTCTACTCATTTCCAAGTCCATTCCAGATCCTCTTCTTTCTCTTTCTTCACTCCCCCTTTTATTCCATTTTTTTCCATTGCCTCTTTTGTTTTTGTGTTGCTTTTCGTGTTAAGTTGCTCTACCAAGCCCCTTTCCCCCTCCTCTGTTTTCCCTTGCTTTGTACCTTCTCGCTCCTTGAACATCCTACCAAATCTTTTCTTTTCTTTTTTTCCAATCCTTTCCCCCCCTAGATTTCCCTCCTGTTTCCTGCTATCTCACACCTCCAGCAAAGATGTCTTCAACTCCTCCACTGCCAGAATGGAAACTTCAGTTGCTGGAGCGTCGGCGAAAGGAGGAAGAGGAGGCTCGGCGGCGGGAACAGGAGCAACAAGACCGCATGGCTAAGATGCCGGCTTGGAAACGGGAAATCATTGAACGACGCCGGGCCAAGCAAGGTTCAAGCACTTCTTTTTCTGAACCAAGCGGACCAGGGGAAACTGAGAGCGGCCCATCATCCGTGCCTGCTGCAACATCATCCTACCAAGAGGGGGAGCCAGAGAGTTCTGTGCTACAGGAGAAGATTGGGCCAGTCCACCAAAATCCTTTCATTCAGCTAGAGAAGCGCCGCCATCATCATGAATCTGGCCCTCCAGAAAATGAACTTGCAAACACCAAAGCTAAACAAATAGTGGATCTGTGTGGTCAGATTCCAGGCGTCCGGACCCTGCGAGCAGACAATGTCATTATAATTGAAACAGCCCATGGGGCACCACCGGCACAGCTGGCTAGTGACCGCCACTCGGGAGAAGCCAAATCTGGCAGCATGGAGTCCCTCAATGAGCTGTTGGCCCGCCGTGGGGGCAGCGTGACTGAGATCCGTGCAGGGGAGGTCTTCATTGTCAAGTCGGCTTTGAGCCGCAGCGTGGAGGATCTCAATGCTGTGGGCCGAGCTGAGCATCGGGCATCGCTGCCAGAGCAGCGCCAAGGACGGGTGAGCAAACTGCTCAGCCGGTTTAGCCAAGAGGACGGTGGAGGGATGGTGATGCCATCGCCCCCGGTGAAGTCCCTCAGCACTGAGAATTTAATTGAAAGCAGCAGCTTTGGAGGAAAGAAGCCAGTCCATTCTCTAGCAGACCCCATCCCGGCCCGGCTGCCCTTTGTCAATCGCCTCCCCAGTCCTCCCTGTGACCTCCCGGGACTGACACCTCCAGGACCTTGCACTGTGGCATCTTATCGAAGCCAATTTGAAGCTAAATCAAGCAGTGGGGAGGGCTGGCCAGATAGTCCCCCAAGGCGCTCCCCCACTGGGAAAAGATGGGGAAGGGAGGCTGTGTCCCCAGATAGAGGAGCCAGGATGGAGAGCAGTGATTTGGAGGCGGCAGTGGAATGCCACTCAACTGAGGACGATGTCCAGGGCAAAGCCTTGGCCAACCTGCGCCTCCATTCCAGGAACTCCTTCATGGTTGTGCCACCGAGGGCTTCGGCCTCCCCTCCCCCAGAACCCAAACAGGAAGCCAGCCCTTCTCCTCCTTCAGCCAAGCCCCCAGTCCCCACTTCCTGCTCTTCACCCAGCTGTGAACAACTTCTCCCGGACGCTGTGGAGGAGCCGCCGCCCGAGGCTGAGGCCATGAGACGCAGCGGCAACAGCAAAGTTAAGGAGGATGTCAGGATGGGAGGCCTGAGCCGGGTCTCATCCCCGCATCCAGCAATGCAGCGTCGCAGTGGCAACACCATCACAATCAATCCTCGGAAGGCCCCTGTGTCACCTGTCACGGCTGTGGAGAATGGCATCGAGAGCTCCCCGCCAATGGCCACGATGCCCATGAAGAAGCGCTACCCCACAGTGGAGGAGATCCAGGTGATTGGAGGCTACCTCTCCCTGCAGCGATCGTGTCTTGCAAAGAACGACCGGCATCGGAAAAAGGTAGGTGATCCTCCAAGCCCTTCTGAAGGCCAGCTTTGCAGCTGTTTGCATTTTGTAAACATTCACACTTTTGCATTTGTCTCGTTCTAAGGCCTTTGGGCAGCCACAACTTTTTCAGGTGACTGGTGTTGCTCTTTCACTTGCTATGCCCACCAAAACCACCATCCTGTCATTGCTATTACCTTTTCCTGCATTCTTGTTCCTTTATTCCTCTGACACTATTGGAGATATTTTTTACCTCAGAAAGTGAATATTTCTAGAACAATTCAATTTCTATAAATTCTTGTTGCAGGATGCAGGATTTGGTTCAAAGCTGGTAACCAAACTACACTTTTGCCTTATTAGAACTTGATATTTTTAAATGTAATACAAAACTTTGGCTTCTGTAAGGCAGATCCCGAATTCCTCCCCTTTTTCAGATGAGCAAATGAAGCAAAGAAAATTGAATTCGTTCTTGGTTGGCACGCAAGTTCAGGATACCAAGGCTTTAAATCCCTGTCTCAAACTCAGTGCTTTAGCCTACAGTCCCTGACTTTCCATTGACAATGCACTTGTAATACTAACCTTTCCTTTTATGCTAACTACAATAGTGCAAAATATATTTTTTTGTCTGCTGAAAGGTCCTTAGGATACAGGGCAATTTCACACCCTGCTACACACAGTAAAACAATTAATCTCTAGTACCTCTGATCACTTGTTCTGCAGAGGTCAGTGAGGTTGCCTCCAAACTGAAGACTTGGAGATCCACCTCTTCAAGGATTTGGGAGGCTGCTGTTTTCTCTGAATGAGCTTTCCACACTAAGAACAAAGATGGAAGGAGCCACACAGAAAACCAACACCACCGTCCCAAAATTCCATGAATGATTAATTCTTCACCCAGTCACGCTTTTTTTTTTCTTCCTCTGTGCTATATTGTCCCCAGTTGCTCTGTGTTTATCTCTTCTACACGGTTCTGCCTTTTAATTTCCTCCTTACGTTGAGTGGTCAGCAATGCTCAGAGGAAGACAGCTACATCCTGCGAATTGCATTAAGGTTTCTTAACGTATGATTAAAAAAAAAAGAAAACATGCTGGATTTGAGGCTTTTGATGTTTTGTTTTGATGATTTGAGGCATTTGATGTTTTTGTGCAAGTTGCAAAATACTCTTTGGAGCTTCCCTTGCACGTTTCAGGGTCCACATGATGCCTAATCACAAGGAAATAACTAATATAGATAGGCAGGTAGAATTATTTTATTCATTTGCAAATTAGTTTCGCAGGCCAATCTTTAATGTCCTTTAGACACATGTGACATTTATAGGCTGACCTCAGGAGTGGCAACTATAGGCCAGCTCCTTTGTTGTGTTGACTGCATTTTCCAAGCACACTTCCAGAATACAAATCTTTGCTTATTTCAAAGGGAGATCTATATCATGGTTGTAGTTAATATGCAACCACCTGTTCATCTGAAATTTCACTGGGTGTTGGCTGTGACCTCTTGAAAGCAATTCCTGCTAAAAAGTCACTTGTTCCTATTATGGAATGAGACATTAAGCACTTTACTAAATTTTAGCATCCATTCTCCAAAGCATTTATTTATGGGGTGTGTGTGCTACCAAATCCATATAGATTCACAGTGGTTCATGGCGCATGAACAAACTAACAATATAACGTTATTAGTTAATTCTAAACCAGTAACAAAATCATACAATAGTGGGAACCCCATGATTCACATAATGACACTCAATCACTTTACCATTTTCTTTGAGCGACATATACCTTATGTATTTGTATAAAATGATAGGATAGAATAGAGACATTAAGAAAAGAAAGGTTTGCATTTCCTAAGGAGCATGTCAAAGATGAAGGTTTTTTGAAGCTAAAATACTTTTTTTCCCAGCTAAATATGACATTCAAGCACAGATTTTCACATATTCCGCTTAGAACCAAGCATTGGGGTGGAGACTGAGGACTAGAAACCTTGTTCACTGCGGAGCATGGCAGGATAAAGAAATTGTGAAGAAAGGTGATTTGACTTCCCCTAAACAGCATCTCCCCTTAACTTTGCTTTCCTTCATCATCTGCTTTCTAAGTGCTTGCTTAGAAACTTTCTCAATTTTCAGAGGACAATATGGTAAAAATATGAGCAGAAGAATTAAACACCTGTATACCATTACTTTCTATCGGCCGGTTCCCCCATTTAAGATCGTAACGCTGCTTTAAAATGGTTGTTCCTAGACACAGCACATTATTGAGCATGTTGTTTTTTCTCTCAAAGCGTCTATGTGCAGATCAGGTGTATATTTTTAGGATGATGTATGAACTGGGCCTGTTACCAATTTTCCTCCCCCCCCCCAAATGAAAGTGGAATGGCAGGAAACATGTGTAGGTGCCAGTTGGACCATTTAGTAAGAAGATTGATTGAGGTGTAGGGCTGGCAAAGCAGAAGTATATAAAAAACCAGATGAGGAGAGAATGTAAAGAGATCTCTAGAGTAAGTGATATAAAGACAGGAGAAGGCATGATCAGAGCAATGAGCCAAGGAATAGCCTGTAGCAGCCATGCATTTACTTTTTAATGGAATAAGATCCACTATGAGACTTCCAGATAGAACATAAGATGGGAAATGCATTCTCACGTTGAGGTTCCATTGTGACTTTGAGAGACAAAGGGATGTCTGGTCATTTGTACTCCCTATCTGCAAAATTTATTTGGTGGAGTAAAGATCAGTCATAACTGGACATCATATTAATTAGCTGGAGATTATATTAGCATCAGTAAAGGTTTCCTCAATTTTCATCCAAGTCTGGTTGCCCTCCATTACTTGTACAGGAGAGACAGATCTCTATGGTTTTTTTGGAGGCGGGATATGACATTCCCTCTAAAGCAGGGGTGTCAAACTCAAGGCCTGAATCTGGCCCGAAGGATGCTTAGATCTGACCTGTGGGGACGCTCTGGAAACAGTGAAGGACCGGCCTGCAGTGACTCTGCCAGCGAAAATGGAGCTCGGGAGGGCCGTGTGCAGCCCTCCTAACCTCCATTTTCGGCTGCGATGGCCTCCTGCAGCCGTCTGCCACAGGGGTGGGTTCTACCTACCTTTACTACCAGTTCGTAATGAGAGCGCACATGTGCACTTGCTTCGCTTGCGCACACGTGCGCATGCTTTTGCGCATGCACAGATCATCAATGATGACATCCGGGTGGGTGGGTGGAGCCTCCTGCCACTTTTACTACCGGTTCTAAAGAACCGGACAGAACCGGGAGCAACCCACCACTGCTCTGCCAGCGAAAATGGAGCTCGGGAGGGCTGCATATAGCCCTCCCGAGCTCCGTTTTCGCTGGCAGAGTGCTCGGGCTACCACAGGCGCCCCCAAAATGAGTGACATTGAGCTGACCATGCTGGTCACACACACCCAGCCCCCGAGCTGAAACACAATCCTGTTGTGGCCCTCAATGAAATCGATTTTGACACCCCTGCTCTAAAGTGTCATGTTTAGCAACCTAGGTCCAAGCATGTCCTCTTCCTTGAGTATCAGTTTAACATACTTGAGCCTGAGGATCCAGAATTTGCTGCCCAGTGTGTGAAAGGGGTTGGTGGTCAGGCTGGCCTTGAGAACATCATGGTACTGTTTGCACACAGATTTCCACAGACGCCTTAAGTCCTTCTCCACAAAAGCCTTTTCAACCTAGCAAGTCTTACCCCATGGTCTCGGGTCACCAGATACACCCCAAGCAGAATAGAGGAAGCTTGTTTCTTTTCCCCGTCCATCATAAGAAAGTTATTTAGTTAAATCATTAGCAGTTGAAGGGATTTATGAAGACTTTTTTGTTGTTGTTGTTGTTTTCTGCAGCTGGCTTTAAAAATGCTGCTCGCTTTCTAGCCCCTTGTTGTAAATCTCTTCCACTCCTCCTTAGGCTTATGAACTGGGTTTCTTCTCAGTCCTTCCAGTTTCATGGCCAAGAAAATGGCATATATGGGTTGATGAATGAAGCCACTGGAATCAAGCAGGACCCAAAGGAAACTGCATTTAGAAGCCACGTATAATATCCATGATGATCAGTGAATGAAAAGGAGGTGGGGTGCCCGGAGTAACTAGCTAGCAATTTAACTAAATATAGCCCTTACGCAGATCTTTTGTCAGCTTTTCATTATCACTCATTAAGGAGAGCCCTTCTTCTGGTAATTAGTTACTGCTGGAACATGGGATTCTGTATATTATATTGCACTCAGCTAATAGCTGTAAATGGATTTGAAGATTCTTGACTTTTCAAAAGGAATTTTGGGCTTTATATTTAAAAGACAGAGAAGTGGTGGGGGAAAATGGCCAAAGTATTTAATGTATTTTAAATGATTTTTAACACTTGTATTATGTATATTTTACTTTTTTGGCTGTTCACCGCCCTGAGTCCTTCAGGAGTAGGGCGGTATATAAATTTAATTATAAATAAATAAATAAATAAATTTTTAAGAAGTACAATTAGGCATATTCCAGGCTAATGGCTCAGGGTCTTGAGTATCTAGGAGACCACCTGTCAAGCACAGAAAATCAGAAGTTCAGATGAATAGGTTTACTGTATGCTGAAACTCTCTACAAGAATCTGAACTAACGATCAAAGTTGATGGTAGATAAGAGTCAATGGAAATCAAAGTGGGCTGGATTTTGATTGCTTGTGGGCACAAAGGTACTTGAGACTGATGACGTGTTTGACTGCTCCCTCAGGCTCAGACTGGTCACTTCCTACATCAGCTTTCCACAACAGTTTTCTCCTATCCCGCCCAAATAACTGGGAAGTACCTCCTGATGGTCCTCCTAGTAGGAAGAATGTAAATAAAAAGCCCAGTGGTGCACATACTCTATAGTGGCCCCTCTTCTCTGGAACAGCTTGTTTCCTGGAACCATATGGTCCCCACCCTCATAAGCCTTCCAGAAGATGGTGAAAATGTGGCCCTTCCAGAGGGCCTTTGGGAGGATTGACAAATCATGATGCCTGTCATCCCTTTGAGGAAGGTCAAATCAAGCA